TTTTTGGGATATTGATACTTTTGCATTCCAAAGTGAGTCAACCTGTTTCTGGGATAGCAACATTTTTGTACTCCAAGATGAGTTGACTCCCATCTGGGATAATGATACTTTTGCATTTCAAAATAAGCCAACTTCTTTCTGGGATAGCAATACTTTTGCATTTCTTTACAGAAACTTGTGTTTTTAAAGATTATCTGATGAGATTTGCGGTGATGGGTTTGCGATATTTAATATTGCTGACATGTTGTGGTGATATCACCATGACGATTAAATTTCTTGGTAATCTCGTACCTATCGCGAGGGACTTTTATTAATATTTTCCCCAGTAGAAAAGTGCAGTAACGTGATCTGATGATCCAATGAAAAAAATTTCCAATACGATTGTTTGCATTGGGATTTTGTATTTCTAAATTCCACACAAAAATTTGAACCGCCCAATTAGGTTTACCACAAATTTATTTGTTTTGATTTGTCTTTTCGTTTTGTTTATCGAAGAAAACTGAATTACTTGTATATAGAAGTAATAGCCGACCTGTTATGTGTATAGGCTTGTCTCTGGGAGAGGAATATGAAGAAATAGAAAGCTGCTAGGAGAACTGATCGTTGGAGGAAGACTAAGTCTTGACTACTCAACCATATTAGAGCTTCGCCTTTACTAACAACGTTTATTACAGTATTTCAACTATTGAAGAAATGATCTATTTCAGAGATAGCATTTACAAAGGGAGAAGTTTACGTTTAGGTGGACAATGATTTGTACGAAGTGCTAGTATACTAACAAAGTGCGTTGATGCGTTTCGCGAAGCTCTGGTTTGTCATTTGTGAAGTAACAAGGCTTGCCAAGTAAGCACGTATTCTGGTGAATTGTCTAACTAGCCATCATTTTTGTCTAACTTAGAACAAGAATATATTTTAAGACACTTCCTCAGCTAAGATTGTTGCTTGCAGCTTATACTATGTAGTGTAAGGAAAGAGATTAATGATATAGTTATAAGTTGCTAAGTAAGTACATTCTTTTGAATAACCATAGTAATAGTTTGTCATTTACACATTACAAGATTCTGAAAATGACTTTTGATAAAATTAATATTTCTACCATACATACACTAATAGAAACGGTAGACAATTGATCTTGGCAGTTGTAGTATACGACAATATACGCTAGATGAAGCATTGATAAATCTTTACTCCAAGTATGTAATAACATAACGTATGAGTCTCAGATAATTGTTAATAGTAATATGCGGAGGTTAATTTTACTGACAGAATATTGTTTGCTCAAACTCTTTTAGGCACTCGATATATTCGATAAGTCTGTTATGTTTCAAGAATAGAAATTACCATTAGTTTAACAAGCTGTATTAGTATTAGATAATATCGAATTAAACGTATAATATAACTATTACTATTATTATCTATTGAATCGATAATCCATGTGATTTACAAAATGGTGTTACAAGACAGGTGTTCCAAATTCGTAAAATTTGTCCCGATATGGATATACGAATCGCACATTTTCGTTGGTCAGCATCGTTCACAGATCACGTTACTGCACGATCCGTCTGGTGCACTAGTACTAGGGGTAGTTCGTGATGATCTCATCACATGACATACAGTAGAATACTGAGATAAAATGTAGAATAGTGATTGGTTGTAGCAGATGAGGATCATACGATTTTTGGTTTAATAGTATGATTTTCTTGTGTGCCAATATTTTGATCAGCCACATTTCGTATCTACTATTTTTTAAATTATATTCATGTATTATTGTTTGTAAATTGAAGCAAAGATATTATTCACATAAGTCTCATTATAATGAATATTGCTTGACCCAGGCTTAACTTATACCGAATGTCTCGTTATACCGATCATGGATGCCTCCCCTGACACTTCGTATAGCGAGGTTCAACTGTACTGAAAAATTTGCACTCATGTGACATTAATAGTATTTTGGCAAACGATATTAATATGGTGCAGACATCTATACTCGACAATCACGTGACCCAAAATATTAGGCATCTTTAAACTCCTAAAACTTTTTACACGGATATTGTTTTTAAAATCGGCATTTTTGTTCTTTACAGTAAGCTCTACAAAGTTACCGGTCAAATTTTAACAATAACATCTGTAAAAAGTTTTAGGGTTTTAAAGTCATAATACAATGGCACGTCTATAAGTGCACCCTTCATAAGTGCACACTCTCCATGTTCTATACGTGCAAGCGATTTTGAGTCCCGGATATAATAATTGATATAACCTCCATAAGTGCACGCACGTGATATTTAAAAAAAGTTTACTTATTAGTACTAGTAAAATTATGAAATAAATTGACATAAGATATCTGCTAAAATAGTAAAAATTTTAATCACATTTTCCAAATTAAGCGAAGATGACATAAACGCCACAATAATATAATAAATGTGGCAGATTAAAACGAAATCGGATTAAACCGAATTTGGGGTCTTCTTAGATTTGTTCTGACTTTCTGAATTTGACCCACTTCCGAATCGGGTCAACCCAGTGCAGTTAGTCGTTAACACAGTATTTGTAAAATGACAGTGAATTCCACATTGCTTATTTAATCTCCGTTTCATGTGGTACAATCAGTCTTGCATTTACACTTATTACCAACTGCATTTTGCGATCCAAGTGCCTCGGTTAAAGATATAACAGCTTCCAAGTCAGCTGCATAGTAGCGAAGTCTAATATTCCTGAACTACAGCCAAGTTTGTATTGGCTTCCCTCAAACACCTCTACCACTTTCTATTCTTGTGATAGCCTGAATTATCTTACAATCCTTTTTTGTTAAAGCCTAATTATTTTGACCATCATACGATTTCGACATTCAATTATTCAATCGTTCTG